AGCTTAACCTCTCGATAGTTGGCACATTCTTGTACACCACCCTTATTTTTAAACTAGTTATATATACCCGTGATGCGCACAGGGATATTGCCCAATGTTCATTTTATGTGTAGACATTTGATTTTGTGATAGAAGATCAATTAGTGTGCTACAATGTCAAACTTAAGGGTGAGAATTTATTGGGGTATAGTTGGACTTCAAGTGGTTGGAAAAACTCATATTCGAAGTTATTATTTTCTATTAGAAGTATAATAAATAAGCTAAGCAAGATAATTAATTAATAATTAAAATGAACACATCTACTCAAAAACATTTAAGGTGAGATAGTTTGTTCTAGTCGACTAAAATACAAGAGAGCCCAAGACGTATGCATGATGTAGGGCACCAAGATTTAAGAGAAAACCGGAAGGTTGGTGTAGATTAGAAAATGTTGTCAAATGAGTTAGATAGTCTAAGATGCACGAGAGATTGTACCCATTTTGAGTTTGTGTTTAGATATTAGTTTTTGCAATAGAAGACGACTTGGTGTGCGAAAAATAAACGGACAAATGCCCCGAGTTAAAGCAATTCCTATCTATTAAGTTGTCATTTAACAAATAAGGGTCATTTCATTTTGTTTGAGCTGAAGTAAAATCTCCATATAAGAATAATCTTTAGACAAATTAACTCTTATAATTTAGCGGAAATAACTCGATAGAAGAATATGTAGAAAATTTTGTGGCCAAAATCATCAACCTTAACCAATATAATGTCTTTCTTTCTAATAGGTTTTTAGAAAGAATAAACCTTTGACAAAGGATAGCTGTGAAGTAGCTATTGGAGTTGTGACTCTCTCAACTCTTAGAAATCCAGATGCAACCTTAACATTGAAAACATGAACTATTCCTTTATCACTTGAAACACCTAGCCACTTGACAGTAGGAGAAAAGGAAAGACCAGAGATCTCAGTTCTATACTTCTATCAACACCTCTCCTAAGCTACAATGACAAAGTACATTAGCAATATACAATATCAACAATTAAATTCCACCATGTGTAAACCACATTCATGACTCATGCGGGTTAAACTATGTTAAGAGCAATTTTTTTCACACAGTTGAGAAGCCCGTCTACTTCACTTATTGCCACTGAAAAATTTGTTTACAAATAAATATCATTAGGGTAGAATCTCAGCCTAGCTGTATTGTTGTTTCATGATAATCACGTATTTATGGTTCACAAAGACTCCTGTGGAGATTAGCATCGAAGGTGAAAGTACATTACCAAATTTCCAAATAGACTTGTGAAAATATCATATAAAAATGCATACTAAACTGGAAGTTAATTCCTTTAAATATAGTACACGTGGTAAAGCATAATGTACCACCACATTAAGCTAGATGATTACACCAACATATTTTTTTTCTAAATACCCTAACTCTCATTGACTATTATAAGTTTTTAAGATAAAGGGATGAAACTATGAAAGTACTCTTCCGCCAAATGATGTTGAAGAAACATGTTAGCCAATCAATCTCTTTCTCTCCCAAATTTCTCCAGTCCTCAATCGGTATGCATCAGGACCCACTGCTTTCTTCCGTCTCATCTTTCTGAGAGCCTCTTTAACTTCTGACGTTTGGATACTTTTCACAAAGTCCCAATTTAGCATACCCAATCTGGTATAGTAAGATCATCAATATCTTTCACTTTATTCCCGTTGAACAATGTATCAAAGTATGACCTCCACCTTTCTTTTATTTCTCTGTCCTTCATTAGAACCCTTTGATCGACACCTTTCACCCACTTAAATTTTCCGATATCTTGAGACCTACGATCATGAAGGCGAGCAAGTTTTTAAATATCTTTTTCTCCTTCCTCAGAATCCAATTTTACATACAGTTCTTGTTCACTTTCCCTCTTGCTTCCCTTACGCCTTTCTTTGTTTTTCTTTTAGCCTCCTTGTACTCCTCGATGTTCTCATCGCTCCAACATTTGCCCAACTTTTTAGTAGCATTCCCTTGTGATCCTTATTGCTTGTTTCACCTCATCATTCCACTAAAATGTATCCTTTTTTGGTGGTAGATATCATTTAGATTCTCCGAGTATCTCCTTCATCGCTTCGTTGATGGTCGACTCCATTGATAACTACATATCATTCACATGTGCATCATCATCAACACACCATACATCTTCCTCCAATATTTTGTGTGCAAAACCTTAATCCACCTTCTCTTCTTACCTTGAAAATCAAGCACACGCATCCTATGCTGAGTGAAAGCATTCTCACATGGGATAACCTTACAATCAGTGTAGCTAGTTCTCCAACTGGAGGTGGCCGCGACAGGAGGTGCCGAGGTGGCCACTGTTGTTCCCTCAACACAGCGAGCTGACGTCTCTATGCTCCAACTGGAAGACTACTACCAGTATACAAGATACACTTAGAAGAATTGAACGACTACGAACTTCAATATTCAACTAGCAAATTCTTGAGAGCAAATACTACTTAACATAAGAAATCGACAGATATCTTGGAAGATGATATTTCAAATCCTTCAACCAACTCTCAAAGCAAGTTCGTCCTTGTTCCTTAACCTCTCCGAAATCTACATCTACACATCTTGTACAAAGTACGTTGGAAGAAAATCTTTGAACCTATTCAAAGTAATCTTCTTGCAAAAGAAGGGCGCCAAAGTAATCAGAGTGTGAAGTGGGGATACTTCAAGCAAGCTTGGTGAAAAGGTCAGTAGTCATCAGGAAGCAAAAAAGTGCATCCTGGTTGACAAGGATATTAGAGTTGAAGAAGACGTGGCGAGATTCTTAAGTGCTAGAGTCTAAGTGTTGTAACGAGTTTTACAAGCTTAGTGGAACAATGGACTAGAGGAACGATCAAGTTGTTCCTTGAACCACTATAAAAATCCCTAGTGTCTTTTACTTACTGCTTTTACTTCTTACATCTGGGACCTTAATTGTTTTCTTCTACAGAGCTTGGACTTTGTGTTCAAAAGATCTCGCTTTAAGAGCACCAGAAAAGAATTCTGCCGTAGTGTGTCTTTGTGAGGCTACCCAACCAGAACTACTATCCGCTGCAAGTATGTTTTGTCCAGAACAACACCAACTCTGGGAGACGAAAGTTCTGTCTCGCAAGAAAAGAGAAACGACGAACAATCTATTCACCCCCTCCCCCTTTGGACCGTTTCTTTGTTAAACCGGAATCAACAGTCACAGTATGTTCATTGAGCTAAATTCTATTTGGCATGTTTACATTATGTTATATATTAATACTAAATTTTACTTGACACTTATCTAGTGCCTTAAGAAAACTCCTTCTATGGAATGTGGATACTTCTTGATGAAGTACATGAATGACATTGTTTGTGATGTTAACGTCCTGAAGAAGAATGTTATTTAAATGTTGACTGTTTGTATATATTTTTGTGGGATAATATTAATTGAAGTTTCTATATGTTCGTACTCATTGTATATTTATACTCTAGTTCTTCACAATAAAGGACTATTTTAAACAAGACATCTTGCCAGTGCGTGAGGAGTGAGCGGCATATGCAACACAGTTGGTCCTAATTCCTAAAGTAAGAACTCTATTTCCATTTTAGTTTGTTATTGTTGTTGTCTTAGCTAATTAAATGATACACCAAAATATAAGGATGATTTGTGCAGGACTTGTGCTCACACAATTATGTAAACCTAACTCAAATTAGTAGTAGAATTGGAGTTTCTAAGCATTCCAATCTTTTCATCCAAAAAAAAAAGGCATTCCAATCTTCTATATAATTTGCATGCATGTGTACATATTGTGCAGTTCATTTCTTATAGTTGTAGGACTCGTTTGTACGTGCAGTTGATTGAATGAGGGGTTGGAGTGAAGAGCTTGCAAAGACGATTTATTTATGGTGCTAGCATTGAGAACTTTATGTTGTAGGTGTTTTGTTGAATGTAAGACTATTATGTGATGCCTCGTGTAATTGAGTCGCCATTGAGGCGCCATTTTGCTGTGGAAGCTGTAATCTAACATGTAGAAGTGTTTCTATTGAGTTAGGCATCTAGTTAACAATGATGACTTAAATGTTATTATATTGTCACTTTTATTAGATGAGACTTACTTAAAGTTGGTTGTGTTTGTTGCATTACTTCTTTTAGTATTGTGTGATATTATAAGTTATTTGTTTTGAAATCGGAACAATTTTGTTGTTGTAAATATAAACATATGAAACTAATGTGTCGTGAATGCAAGAGACACCGTGGTTTCAAAAAATATGACACCAAACCAACATAAAATTTTAATGCGTATTAGTATCATTATATTTGCTGATTCGATGTCGGTATACTAGTAAAAAAATATGATGCAATGGTATCACAAAAATTCTTGTTAGGTATACATCACAGTCTAATGTGATATTTATATGTCATAATTTTGTGTCACAAAATTATTTTGTAAACGGTGACTAAATTTAGTGTCACTTGCCCCACTTATCATTGACACTTTTTTAGTCCCATTAAAACTTTCAATGATACTAATTTATTATCACCGTATGTAATTTTTTACTAGTGTTCTATGTCTAATTAGAAGTGAGGAGACCTTCGGATTGTATTGAGTCTAATGGGGAAAGGAAAGTTGAGGTTGAGTATGATGTAAGGTTCACAATGATTTATATATCACAATTATTATTGTTACTAATACTAGTAGTATGGTTGTGGCTTTTGTTTGAATTCGTTATTGCGTAATTGTTGTTACGTTGTTGTTGTTGTTGTTGTTGTTTGGATGTATATGAAAATTTAGTGAATCAAATAAATCACTTTACCTTTTTGTATTTGGTCGATGTTCAAATCAAAATTAGTACTCCACGGTGTTGTATAAACAACAACAACGCTAAATCAAAATTAGCATCTGAGACTTTTTTATTACTATGTAGTATTTATATTTCTACTTCCCCTTACTTTAATCAATCCCAATTCTACATGTTTTGAAGTAATCATTAATAAATAAAAAACATGAATATAACTTAGAGTTTAAAGTAAGTTTCTTCGATCTAGTTGTACATAACATATATGTTTCATACATGTACTCACTCATAAGCACATACATGTGTTTTTCATACAACTTTGCTAAATAGGCAAGGATAAAACTACTCTACATGTACAAATAGAAATTATTACAACTTTTTATAAAGAAGTTACTACAATATTAGTATATAAACAAACATAAAATGGAATACTTTTACACTACCAATAGTTTTATTTTTAATTTCTATGTAAAACCAAGAAGGATGTTACTATGAAAAAATTCTATTACACCCAACTTATCCCATCAAAAAGAAAAATGATGGTCTTACCACCTAACCAATAAGTCACGGGTTCGGGTTGTGAGGTATCCAGCCAGAGCTGGCTGAAATAATTCGGCCTTTCCACCCTTGGAGAATCCAATCGCCGTCTTCGGCAAATAGAAAGTCTTTATGACCTGTTTCCCCCACCTTAGCTCTCAACTTTTTCACAACTTTAGGGTTCAAAGGGAGAGACTTGAATCCTGCTCTCATAGTGCGACATTGCCACTGCTTGTATGTTTCAGGCCTCTCAAACCTTTCCTTGCCTTCACATGCAACGACATTTCTTATTAAGGGAAGAAAAAACGCTTTTTCGAAATTAAACCTTTGACTATCATGGCATGGGAAAAATGTGTCAAACATGTCAAAGAGGGCGGAGCAGAAGTAGAGAGCCTCTCGAAACCGATTGACAAAATAAGGAGAGTTGTGTGATGCACTATGCACGTTGTGCACAAAAATTTGAGGGTTTATGTCTCGTATTAACTTTAAAACAACATCCCTTGGGTTGTCCGCACCACATACTGTCTCATCTAGTAGGAGTTTGAATCGATCAATACAGTTAACAGCAACCATCTCACCCTTTGTGAGCTTCAAGTCATCGATCTTAATTTCCTCCCAATTTGTTGATGTTATGCCGTTGTATTCGAATAGCACACCGAAACACTCGCAATATTTAGCTAAGCGGCAACCCGTCTCGACTAACATTTGCGATGGACGAAAACCAGGTTGGGGAAGCTCAATCCCAGTTATTCGAAGTTTTGGAGGGCCACCGGGTCTTCGTGAAAGATCCCGAATAAGAGTGGGCCATTGGATACCATGAAGAATGCCGAAGTCTATTATGTGCAGTGATTCGGCTCTTGATGCTACTTCGTAAATCATTTTATTCGCAAAGAAGATTAAGATCCTCATAAATGGCAATATTGTTGACATGTGGGATTTCTGCATTTCGGAAACTGGAGTCTTATTGCAAAATGAAGGATAAGGTTCTGGCCACGTTCCACCAATCCGTGCTTCAAGACCGTCAGCAAATGCATGTGCCAGCCTTTGGTTTGCGTCACCTGTTGGGGAAGAGTACTGCCTGATCTCCTTCAGTTGTTGTTTTGCAGCCATGTAATCAGCATCAGCAACATATTTTGCACAGGTGATCAAAAGAGACTCAACATTAACAATTCCACAATGGTCTCCTCGTTTATTTGAACGGCTCTTGTGACCATTTTTCCCTTTCGATTGTTGTTTTCCTACTCCAGATGGAGAATCATCATTATCTTCAACACACAACAAAACCTTATCAAACACCTCTGATAACTCAATTTCCTCCTTACAAGCTGCATTCTGCTTCCTAATCCTTTCCTCCTTATTTTCTTCACCCAGACAGTTGTGCTTCCTTCTCCTACAAGAACCAGCCGAGTGATCCGCCTTCTCTATACCGACAGCACTACCACTGTCTAATTCCTCAGTTGTCACCTGGTGAAATGAGTATTTGTCATCGAAATGGATGACCATCGGGTTAATGGAAGGAAAGAATCTTCTTGATTCCTCCACACCTCCCTGGAACTGAAAAATGGGCATAGCTTGATCACCAAAAAGTATATTTGGAACCAAATTAGCACTGCCAAACCTATATAAAGAGTCATCCAAGTTAGTGTGACTTGATGAAGAAGACTGGATTGAGAGGTCACTTGTGCCAGATGAGTTAGATTCTCCAGGACCAGAACTATAGAGATTAACATCAGAATCGGAGGCCCCAACCGAGATGCCTTCTGGGCTTCCGACACTGCTATCTAAGGAAGGGTTCTCACCTAAGGCTTCATAAAAGTACTGCTCTGTAGCTCTTAGAGCAGTAGGATCAGAGAACATGAATTCATCATTATTCTCAACGGTATCGTCCTCTAGTAGTATCATGTTAAGGTAGTTGATGAAGCGATTTGAGTCTACCGAAAGAGCGTGGTTAGGACGTTGTTGTGAAATGGCACCATCGCTCTCATTCTCCAACCCGAGTCTCTTTATGGAGTAGTAGGCAGGCAACTCTATGAGATGATGATGATCCTCACCCATCTTTGACAAGCTAGAAACCTATATCAATGACATTTTTTTTTTTGAAAATACCTACATCAATGACATATGTAAGAAAGATGGGTAAAGAAACAAACAATGAAACAAATAAACAACTGCAGCTATTTACATCTTCTGCTAGCTTAGCTTATTGTTTATTTTGTCATTCCCTTATCTTTTCAACATTATAAAGTCGAAATGGTTTTTTATTTTGTCAAAGTTATTATGTCAAAGTTATAACTGCATTTCTCCTGTGTGATTTTATAATTTTCTTCTAAGTTTCTCTTATGCCATAATGTATCTGGATAGTACATGGACAATTACTACAACAAACGGACGGAAGTATACTGTCTGCATTAATTTTTACCTTTATTTTGCATCTTTAACTTTTTTTTATTATGTTGACGTTTGACTGTCACAAATGATTTTTTGTTTTTGTTTTAATGTGTGTCTCACAAGTTCCTAGATCCTAACTATATATGTGGTGTTTGTTTACTGGTTTATTACCAGTTCTATTTCTTTTAATAATCAACTAATGTTGATCCTTTGATCGCAAAAAAAAAAACTAATGTTGATCCTGTATTAAGTAAGTTGTTGCTTTCTTTTATTACTCTGTTTTTCTGTTAGTGGTTGTTAACTAATATGGCTCCCAATTTAATTTGTTGCTTCGTATTAATTTAATCAATAGCTTGAAGTGATGCACTCAATAAGTATTCATTTTAATAAATGAATACAAATCCATGTACTCAATCCCAACCCCAACCCCTGTACATATCTAAAATTTTATAAGAAATTGATCAAAATAAGAGTTAAGTGTAGAAAAAAAAATCTAAAATAGGATTAAGAGTGTTTTCTTTCATATTAAAAGAATGAAAGGCTAAAAAGTTCACTAAATTTTGTTATGTGTAGCTTATATTTAGGTAATTTTTCTGAAATTTTATCTGCAATTGCATCTTTACACACCCGTAATATAAATTAATCTTCTTTTATTCATACTGATACATATATATCTTATGAGTAAAATGCATAAATGGTCCTTGAATTATCATCACCATATCGTTTTGGTCCTCGAACTATTAAATCTATCATTTTAGTCCTTAATCTATTTCATCTATATTAATCGAGTCCTTCCGTTAAATTTTCCGTTAACTTTGACGGAATCTCATTAATTTATTAACATCTCATAATTTTAAACATTTTGGAATAATACAATCATTCTTAAAATTTAAGTAACTAATCTAGTTTTTTTTAAATATACATATATGTACACATACACATATAAAAATTATAAATAAATAAATAATTTAAAATCAAATGTACGGCCTAAATAATACATAGTGTATAAGAGAGAATCAAATAATCAATTACATACATATGAGCAGATAAAATTAAATAAGAAAATGAGGGTGATTGTTATTATTAATAATTATATTAAGAAAAGAATAAAATTAGGTATGACTAAAACTCATCCATTTTCTCAATGCATGACCTCATTAGCCCCCTCCCCAAACAATACTCCGTATTTAAATTCGTAATATTTAATAAAATAAATAAATAAATAAATAAATAAATAAATTTTATGGACTAATTTGTCTTTACATTTTTTTTTTACCAGAATTTACTCTTTGATTGATAAAACTCTAACTTTCTACTCATTTTCTAAACACCACATCGCCGCGGCACCTGATGCCCACATTGCCGCGTAACACACCTCCCTCGTCGTTGCGGCCATCCCCATGCTCCGGCTCCATCTTAAAGTAAAAATGATATAGAATCACACAAATTTTATCAAATTTGGTATGAATAGTCATAGTTGGATGGATCAAAAAGAAAAGACGAGACAGTCTTAGTGGGACACAAGGCGTATATTATTTAAGCCATACACTTGATTGTATATTATTTGTTTAATTATTTATTTATAATTTTTATATGTGTATGTGTATGTGTATATATATGTATATTTAAAAAAACAAAATTAGCTACTTAAATTTAAGAATTTCTTAAAGAGGACCGGCCCAGGCCTAAACAGTGCCGGGACCGAGCCGGGCCCGGGTCAAGCTGACCCGTCCCAGTCCATCCCTAGGTATCAGCAAATCTAAATCAGGTACTGGTGTTTTTTATTAATATTAACTACGGAGTATGACTTTCACCCAACTCTTTGTTGTTAATTAAATAAATCTCCTATTTTAACTTTTAAGGATGTTTCCATTTTGAGATTTAAAAAGACCAGATGAAATTAGATTATAGATTTATAGTCACTAGATTAGTTCAGAGTAGACACTCAATATATATATTTGCACGCACCTTTAGTTAGGGGTGGTTCGGTACGGTATACCTTATATTTTTTCTCATACCTTTGCCGTACCAAAACTTTCGGTATGCAAAATTTGCATACCTTTACCTTACCGAAGTTTCGGTATACCGCATTTCGGTATACCGAAGTTTCGGTTCGGTAACGGTACGGTATCGGTAAATTACCGGGCATGTCTCCCAATACAAAAAATTATCATAGACTAACGAAATATACTAAATCGTTATTACTAGCGACATATTAAATCTATTATTAAAGTGTTACGAAGTACAATTAATAATATATTGATGTCAATTCAATACTAAACAATAATTATTATTAGTATATTTAAGCAGTTCAACATGTCACATATTAAAAAGTAACACATTCTCCTAAAATAACTTGAACAATATGGATATAATTAAATCAATAGTGATCTCTAACAAGAATAAATAAAACTATTCAAACAACATGGATATAAAATCATTTATTCCTAATATGATATTGTGTATTTAGTCATTTTTATAATTTTTTAAAAATTGAATAAGACTTTCGGACAAAGTTGTGTGTCTCGACTCGCGGAATCCCTATGTAGATACACTTATCACATAAGTGTATCTCTCTTCACTCGTCAGCTACTTAGTGGCCCAGCCATCACGACTTGCAAACTCTTGGAACAAGATGGACTTGTTTCTTGACATTTGTACATTACTCATTAGTCATTAAGGTTAACGTAGTAGAAGCTTAATTATAAGGTTATAGTGGGTTTTTGAAATTGGGCCTTTATTTTTGTATTTTTGTATTTGTAACCAACTTAAGTATTAATTTTGGCTTCAAAATTGTAATGGATTTTTACAATATATTAGAATTAAAAGTAATTGTTGAGTAGGGAGTCGGTACGGTATTATACCGGTATACCGCAGTATTTGAAAACATTTACCGTTACCGTACCGAAATAGATCGGTACGGTATGATACCATACCGAAAATGACGGTATACCAATATTTCAGTATTTTCCGGTATTTTTCGGTACGATAAGTGCGGTATACCGATTTTTCGGTATTTTTGCCCACCCCTACCTTTAGTCACTGAATAAGCATGTTAAGCTTATGAGCTTGCACAGTAAATATACCAAAAAAATGTAAAACTATAGTTTTTGTTCCCAAGTCCAACCTATCTAAACAACTTAGCTCTTTTGTTTAATTAAATAACCTTACGTACACTTGATGATAATTGTAGTTTAACCATAGTTTCCGACCTTTGAGTTACTATCACCCATTTTAATTTGCGCATTTTACGTATATTTGATGATAATTGCGAATGTTTTTTAAATTATTCGCATATGTTTAAAACTAGTATTCTACCCGTGCGATGCACGGGATAATAAAATTTGCAAATTAAGAATAAATTTGTTAATATAAACTGTTGTCGTATAAACACTTAGTTTTGTCAAATATATTATGTGGAAGAAATATTTTACGCTTTTTATGGCCTTAAGTTTCTTAGGGTCTCAAAGGTGTAAAACATGCTGAATAATGACTAAGAGCCCGTTTAGTAGCTCGAAAATCGGCTGATTTGACTGATTCTGTTGAAATTAATGAAGTTCTTGCTGAAATGGTTGCATTGGCTGATTCTGTTGATTTAAAATAAATTATAAATTTAAATTTTGAAATTGAAAAATAAAAAAATTAAAGAGTTAAAAATAAAGATATATTTTTATGTTAAAATATTAACTCTTTAATTTTAAATTGAAAAATTATTATTTTTCATTGTAAATGAAGCACTTAGAATTCATAGTATTAATTTTAGTTTTGATGCAAATTTTGAACACATTGTTACATTTTTTTCAATAACATTCTTGGGTTTTGGTTAAACTTAATAAAATTAAATTCACTATTTTGTAATCTTGGACTATTTACCATCATACAAAATTATATGAAAAATACTCAAAATGTTCAATTATAATAATTTCAGCCAAAAAGAGTAACTCGAATGGTAGTCGAACCTCACTTATTTTGATTATCATAAAATTTAGTGTGCGAAATAAAAAGTTATGTGTTTGGTGAAAAAATTACTTATAAAACTGATAAGCCAAATATAGGAGTCACCAAACGGGCTATAAAATATCAGGATTGTATAACCCGTTTTCATGCTGCAATAAGGGAACATTTTATTTATTGCTAATAGAGAATGCTAGAGTGCCACTTAATGCCTCCTAATTCACACTTTCAATCAATAAATAAAATGTTCTCTATGCAATCGTGAGATGCTAATTTGTGCTGAAAATTGTGCAAATTAAATTGCGTTATACAATCATCAGATGTTAATTTTTGAACTTGAGTGTATGTAGAAGGTGCTGAGTCAAAAAACCTCAACCTATTGTGTCTTCATTTTTATTTGTATTTTTATAAATGCAATATTGATGTCAAATAATGAAAGATGTTATGAATTGTGTTTTTTTTTTGTAAAAACTTAACTATAAAAAAAAGTTATAGCAGTTTAAAAAGAAAGAGGCTTTGGGTTTGGTTCCCACTAAGTGATTTGAGATTTTTGTTGTATTCCAATTAAAAGTTTGCATTAGAACAGTCCATATAAATGACAATTTAATCACCAAATATTAAAAATAATATATCTATAACAGTCCAATTTTCATCAATAACCTCATTAATTATATACTCATCGAAACCATTTTTCAAAATATACACGAATTATCTTATTTGACATTTTCTAAATAATCATGATATTTTTCAATTCAATTAGAATCTTAAGTGTTAGGATTAATGTTTTGAACTTCTCCATATAAATTATTTTCTTACAAAAAGTATAGATATGTAAAATAAGGTCTTTTGACTCAATTTGACTCAATTATCTCGGTGTAAGTTTTTTTAATTAACCTATTTTCAATGTGATATCCAAATATGTCATAAAATTGGAAGTAAAGAGTATAGATATTCCTTATAAATTAATACCAATTACGTATTCCTCACAAATTAAATGAATATATTGAAAGGCTCCTAAAATATGACAATTACATTGCTTTATAAATTATTATATAGAATCTTCTATACTTAATTATAATAAACGGGTAACTATAACACTACTATTATTATATATATTATACTAAACGGCTAAATGGAAATTATTAAATGGTTATAATAAAACTTTAAATGGAAAGTGGGTAAATGATTAGATTGTAACGGCAAGTGTCTTTCTATAGCATTTCCTATCATCTATACATTTATGAATAAAGTTATGATAAACGGCAATAGTAAAAAATGGTAAAATGAGAATAGTTGTAATTAAGTTATGGTATTAACTTTTAAATGTGAATAAATAGTATAGTGACATGTGGCAAGAGTAAATAATAGAATGACACATGGCATGAATGTGACTTTCAATTGTATAATATATAGATATAGATATAGATATAGATTACTTCCAATATGTTTAAAATTATGAGATGTTGATAAATTAATTATCTTCCGTCAAAGTTAACGGAAAATTTAACGGAAGGACTCGATTGATATAGATGAAAGAGATTAAGGACTAAAATGATAGATATAATAGTTCGAGGACCAAAACGATATGGTGATGATGGTTCAAGGACCATTTATGCATTTTACCCATATCTTAAACTAAAATTAATCAAATAATATTAATGATGTGATTTTCTATTTGTGAAATATGAGACTAAATTGTAGTACAAGTTTGCCCCCACTCACCAAATTTCTCGGATACGTCACGGCTTCTATTCATGAATTTCTTACAACTCTATAAAGCTCATTGCCAATTCATCTGTTGGCCGGACATTTAGCGTAATTTTTTTCAAAATTACTTCAAGTTTCGTAAAATCTACTTTTCCAAAGGGGTATAAAATAGTACTCCACACGTTTTAATAGAATTACGTATCATTTCACAGTATTTAATTAGTTGGACTAGACTAGACTTAAACAGATCAGACCAGACCAATTCAGACCAGACTTCTATAGTTTTAAAATGCATAGAGACCAGATGTCGTTTACTAGATCAGACTAGACTTAAATAGACTAGACCAGATCAGCAAATTTCAGTCCAGATAAAAACATCCTTAATCTTGTAATATGACTGATGAAGAAATTATATTTCTTCACACCAGTTGAAGGTCTACATATTAGGGAGTATTTCTCTTGGGGATTGGATTTTGGAAGATTATGAGAGCCCGTTAGAATTTAGTCGTTTTAACATGGTTTGGATTTTTTCCTATAAGACTCCTGAATGGTTAATTATTACTCCGTATTTGTTATGTTTAAGAAATTGATTAACATAGGACTAAATACGGACAAAATTCTAATATAAGACTAATTAAGAAATTGATTTATTTACTCCTATTAAAAGAATAAAATAATATGACAATTCATAAAATAGGAGTGAATAAATAATATTTAGGAATTTTATGTTATTATAAGTTGTGATTCGCCGTAAAAGTGTAAAACGCCATACGTAGTATTTTTTTAAACAGACCCCCATGTGACCTCTAAAACGTTGTACCGGTTGTAAATAGGGGTGGGAAAAAATCGAACCGAAACCCGGAAATCGACATTGACCCGGCCCGAATTATGATATCGGTCCGGGGTTTTTCTGTTTGATCGACCAGAATAAAAAACCCGGAACGAACTCGAAATTTCGGGCTCATTAACGGGCCCTACCTTGCCTGGACCGATAAAAATCTGAAACAATTAGCTAGCTTTAATATAAAATCAATATAATATACCATATAATTTATAAATTAATTCCTAATATATGATTATAATCAGACGAAAACAATGACTTGATAACTTTTAGTGACTACAAATATGTTCAATTTATTTACCGTAATGACCATGAAAACATATTTATACTAACTTTAGCCACATTTTTATCTATAAATTTCATTTTATAACATTTTTAGAAAACCCATATTATTTATTTTTATGCATCTTAAACAAAATATTATGATAATTGTCTTTTTTGGATTTGAATTCTTGGTGATTTCGGAAACCAATATTTGTATTAATTATTTGCGGTTTGTACTTTTGATTAACTTTATTTGAAAATATATTTAAAAATATAAAAGAAAAATGAGATGATTTCACATTCGGGCTTTAACCGGCCCAATCTGAACCCGGACCGAACCCGGGCTACAAAAACTCGACTCGGACCGAATATAATGGACTTTGCTCCGGTCCCTAATTTTTATAACCCGAGACCTTACGAGTAATTTTCGAGTTTAGCAAAAACTCAACCCGAACCGGACCGATCCTACCCCTAGTTGTAAGACCATTTGGAGTGGTGAGGTATTAGGAGTCCAAAAAGCTAAATGTAAAATTTTTGGACTCCTAATTGTGTGTAGTGGTAGTTTAAAAGCGGTATTAGAAATGGAAAAGGGGATGAAGGGGATTAAATATAGAGGGTTGGTAAAGAGGAGTGGGAAAAGGAAAAAGAAAGAAAAGAAGAGAAAAAGACCGAAGCGGGTTGCTTTTTTTGTGCGAATGTTGTCATGCTAATGTCCAAAAAAATTTCAAACTTGTATAACATTTTTATTTTTTATCCATATTTTTCAAAAAGTATATCAAAATTCATAAATTTTTATGATCTTTTATATGACACCAATATGTAATATATAAAATGAATTTTGTTTTTGAAGTTTTAATTGTTGAAGTTTTCTTAAGCCCCGGAAAAACATGAAACACAAATTTTTAATTCATGTAGCCTTTACAAACAATTGAATATTACATAATCGAACTTTACTTGAACTAAGTTCATATTTTGTTAACCAAAAAAGTTAAAAAAATATTTACATTTATTTATTTTTACATGGAAATATGTATGTTTTATTTCATAATTATTCAGCGAAAAAATCAAAAGGAAAACATTACTTATAATGAATTAATGATTTAATTAATGTTTTTCTAAGTTGATAGGTTAAAATATATGTTGAGTGTATTTTATTGACGGTGCTGGAATGCAAGAAAAGTGAGAGTCTAAATATTGTTTTCATATGGACGGAGTCCATTTTTAACAATTTGACCTCTCAACCACTCCAATTCCAAATGGTCTAAAAGAGTGATATAGATCTTCATAAATCTAATCGGTAAAACACAGCACCGTACTAATAAAAAAACTCTTCACAAAAGTAGTAGACTGTAGACTAGTAGTAGGAAATACAGAGTAACAAATTTAAATTAAAATGAGTGCGTACCTGGGAGTGAAAAGTGAGTGGGAGGGTTGTGAGATAGCAGCTAGCAAAGAAAGCAAATTCAATCAGGACGACAGGAAGTGAGGAAGGAATATGAAGTTTCATACGTAGTAACAAGTACTCGTATAGGAGTAGTACGTAATAACGGAGTATAAAGTACTCCTATTATATATACGGACTACGGAGTAGTGGAGTACCACGCGACGGCATTAAGGACATGTTTACTTCACGGGTTACTAAACGGTGCTTACTAAGACACGCGTTAATAAACGGTGGATAAAATAAGCAACATTGTAAGATCGTGTTTACTTCAAAAGGTTTAAAACATCGTTTAGCATTAAAATGTCCAAAATAACCCTATACATATATAAACACACAAACATTCATGAACACAAGTATAATGTGTACCCACACTCCAACCCCTTACCCCCACCCCTAGGCCCCATACCACCCTACCTACCCCTACTCCCCACCACATCAGCCCGACCCCACCCTAACCTACCACACTCCTACCCTACCCTACCTTACCTTGACCCCACCATTATCCCGTCCTCGACCCCACCCCTAGGCCCTTACCACAACCCCCTACCATACACCCTATCCTACCCTACTCCTACCCATACCGTACCTTACCTTAACCCCAGGCCCCTACCCTACCATACCTTACCCAAACCCCGACCCCACCCTTACCCCTAACCACGACCCAACCCCACTCAATACACCACTTGCCCCTACCTCGGCTTCACCCCGATCTCAACCCAACCCCAACCCCTTAACCACCCCACCCCTCACCACCCTACCCCACACCTACCACCTCTACCAGATGCCCCTTGGCTCCACCCCCACCCTACCACCATCCTACCCCACGTATGGTGGGGTTGGAGGTGGGACCGACGTGGTAGGGGGTACGGGGTTGGGGTAGGGTGGTAAGGTGGTAAAGGGTGAGTGGTAGGGTGGGGTCAGGGTGGTGCCAATGTGGTAGTGGTAGGGTGTTGGGGTAGGGTGGTAAAGGGGGGGTAAGGAGTAGGGTAGGGGTTGGGGGTGGGCCCGCTGGGGTAGGTGGTAAGGGCCTAGGGTAGGGTGGGTTCAGGGTTAAGGCCAATGTGGTAGGGTGGTAAGGGGGCCTATGGGGTGGGGGTCGGGTAGGTAGGGGTAGGGTTGGGTCGGGTAAGGGTAGGTGGGGGTGGGGCCTAGGGTGTAGGGTTGGGGTAAGTGGTAAGGGCCTAGGGTTTGGGGGTTGGGGTAGGGTAGGGGTGGGTAAGGGGGTCAGGTGGGGTGGGGTCGGGGTAGGAGTAGGGTAAGATAATATATGGTGGGGTCTGGTAGGGCCGGTGTGGTGGGGGGTAAGGGGTTGGGGTAAGGTGGTAAGGGCCTAGGTGTGGGGGTGGGGTGGGTGGGGTCGGGGTAAGGTAGGGTAGGTGGGGTAATGGTCGAGTAGGGGTAAGGTACGAGTATGGATGGAGGTAGTGGGTAGGGTGGGATCGGGGTAGCGGGTAGGGGTAACAATAAGGGTAAGGGCAAGGGGTAAATTCGGAAACTGAAAAAGCTTAAAGTGCCGCTTAATTAATACATGGGGGGTGGTAGGCTTAGTAAGCGGCACTTTAAGCACCTATTTCGGTTAGTAAGCGGCTTTTTAAGCAGCGTGCGTGTTTACTTCACCTGTCTTACTAACCTAACCGTGACTTTAGCAGCGAAGTAAACGCCTCCTAAGTTTTCTTATATTGGGGGTACAGTGATCACCGTACCCGGGGGCGAAATCAAGGAAAGGCCAACCTAGATATTGGTCCAGTCTAAATTTAAAAGGAAAAATTGAAAATAATAATCTCAACTATTGTCAGTCCGCTAATAATAATCCTAACTATTGATTATTTTTGTATAATACCAACTATATGGACTGTCCACCAATAATGGTCCATGACCAGATATTACCTCCAAATTTAAATAAACATTAAGCGTAAAAATTAAAAGTTGAGATTATTTATAGGGATTACTTGATATATCTCTTCCCATTCACTTTAGAAACTACAATAATTTATTTATAGGGATCATTATTGGCGGAGGGTCCCTAAAGTTGGGATTATTCTGAAATAATCAATAGTTGAGATTATTATGAGCGAGCCGCCAATAGTTGAGATTATTATTATCAATTTTTCCAATTTAAAAAGTATCTTTATTTCTTTAAAAGAAGTATCTTTATTGTTTGTGTAAATTTTTTGACTAAATTTCTTTTTCAAAAATATTCTTTGCATCGGGTCAGTCTGATCCCTTGCTTTGCTTCGCCCTAGATGGTACGCATGGGTATTTTTGGAATACTTTCCAATTTGAATGGCTGTTATGAATCTAATTTCTTTGGATTTCTTTTTTTGTTTTCTTAACAACTCTTTCCATTAATTTTAATACATAAAAATGTGCAATTTAAAATATGACTTATCATACCAGGTTGCTTTTTTTTCTTTCCCTAATCAACCTTCTTTTTATAACTTAAGTGTTTCTTCAAATTGTGCATTATAAAATTATTTTCTTTTGATTTTTTTTAATTTTTTTGAAATTACACATTTTTTATCCATCCCAGTAAGACCCGTAAGATATAAGCAATAGAAGTTTGTAAACTTAAAACTAGAAAGATGTGAAAAATATGAAATATAAATGTGATTTTCTTTTTAAGTTTTACTAATTCATATTGAAAGTGATTTTTTGAGAAAAGTTGATGATAAAGCTACACGATTAATGAGCTTTTTGAGTCATTGTAAGCATCCTCGATTCCATGTTAGTTTGTGAGTCTTTTTTAATAAAAGTGGAAGTATGGGATAGATTTGTAAATTTGATGATAGTTGGGGTTAATAATCCTTTGTCTGAATAGGATTAACTACTATCATGCTTGAAAATTACTATCAATTATGACAAAAACACTATCATTTTACTGCCTGGTAATATATACCAATGTGTGCCCATATGATTTCTGAGTTGCACTAATTAGCTCCAACTACCTCCGTCTCACTGACATTGGGACACAAAGCGGTGATGCGGTTATTAAGAAAATTGAATGTATGTGGTTGATATTGAATTTATAATGAAAGAATAAAGTAAGAATGATTCAAAATCACACAAATTTTATCAAATTTGGTGTGAGACAATCTTAGTAGGACAAATAAGAAATTAAAGATAAAACAATCTTATCGGAACAGAGAGAGTATTAAAAAAAACATAGCATTTCTATTTTAGCATTTCACATTGCTTGTACTCATATCTAATAAAATTATAGATAAACTTTCATACGTAAACATTACCGTGGTGTTTGGATCTACTTTTTATAATTGTTCTTGCTCTTTAAGGCGATAGAAACAAATATTCCAGTGTTTAGACGAAAGTACAAACCGGAAAAGAATTTCGAACTACTTTTATTCAGGGGCGTAGCTAGGGGGTGGCTAGTCTAGACCCTGGCCCACCTCAAACATAAAAAAATGTCTATATTTTTAGTATAAAAAATCAGTGTAAATTTTTTTTCAAAAATATTCTTTGTACTGATTCAATCCGGCCCAGTGCATTGGCCCCATCTCTGCTATTATTACACTGTAAAGTAATTTTTGAAAAAAAAGGATGACACCCCATCCATGAGGGCCCCCCAACACCGAACGGATGGCACGATGAGAGGATGTAAATTGAACTATAATTACAATTTGACAGATAGAGAGTGAGGCTCTGTCCCCAATACTTGCAGAAGTCTAATGCATTTTTCAGCATAGTAACCCCTCATCGCAGTTGTCGGGATTCGAACCCGAGACCTAATCCTTGTGACACTCTCTCGCTACCAGTTGAGCTACGTCCACCGGTTGTAAACTACTAGTAATTTTTGAGAAATCATGCGAGATCGTTTTCGAAAATAGGAAACAAATTTTTGAAACACTAGGCAGGCTATTTGTTGCAGTGGGGACTGGGAAGTTAAAGTTACTCAGCTGGGTGCCTGAAACCTACTAACTACTAAGGAGTACTACCACGTGGGAGTCACACTATCATGTCCCAACATTGAAGACTGGAACACTACATTACTGGTAGGGTTGTATATGAAACGAATCGAGTCGAATAATGAGATTTTGTATTTGTATTTGTTTAATTTTTTCGAATGCGAATTCGAATTCAAATATGAAACGAATATTAATTTCGATTTGTATTTGTATTTGTTTAACAATACGAATAGTTAACGAATTATATACGAATATCGAATCGATTTGAGCATAGGTTAATTATTAGTCAAATACGGAGTATCACTTTAAAATAACTTTTCTTATACTCCATATTATTTACGTTGTAAATGCATGCTATGAATTATATGTGATCTTAGAATTTAAATTTAATGGATCAATGCATTTTTAGATGGTGCACAATATACTAAAGTGAATTAATTTTATGATTAATAAATAAAAATCTATTTCAAACCTTTTGAAATAAACACTAACACACATATTAGAAATTATACTTATAATGTGTGAAATAAGTTGACAATTGCATATATCAAAGTCAAACAACTCTAATTGTATTCTTCAAATCAAATACATAATTATTTGTATTGTATTTGAAAGACATTTGAACCAAAAACTGATTTGTATTCGTATTTATATTCTGATTTATTACAAATAGGCTTCAAATCTGTATGCAAAAATGTATATATGGGCTACACGTTAAGAATATTGCTATCTTTTAAAAGTTATTATAGTGTTATTACAATTATTATTATTATTACTATTATTATTAATATTTATATTAATATTACCACTACTATTAATCGAATATATTTGATTAATATTCAAATCAAATACACTGATATTCTTATTTGTATTTGATAACAACTCGAATCAAATTTAATATTCTTATTTGTATTTGTATTTGAATTTTGCGAATTCGAATCGTCTTATACGAATTCGAATCGCGAATCGAGCACAAATTATTTGATTCGTTTACAACCCTAATTACTGGTTCACTACTGTCCAAAACCCGATTATATTATCCCCGTTTTTTACTACCGAGTACTTTTTTTTTATGTTTTATAAAAGAGGATGACACCACATCCCGAGGGTCCCCCAACACCGACTGGACGCACGATGGGATGATTTAAATTGAACTATAATCACAATCTGACAGATAGAGAGTGAGGCTCCGTCCCCGGTACTTGCAGAGGTCATATGCATTTTTAGCATAGTAACCTCTCATCGCAGTTGCCGGGATTTGAACCAGGGACCTAACCCTTGTGGCACTCCCTCGCTACCAGTTGAGCTACGCCCAGCAGTTTCTTTGATGTTTTATAAATTTAAATGATGTTGTAAGATATATTTATGTTAAATTAAATTGAAATTGTAATATGATATAAAAGAAAAGGAACACATATAAGCCGTTATACACTTTTTTTGAAAGTAAAACCAACAATTATACTTTCTTCTTTATTTCTTAAATAAATGCAACGGTCAACATTTCACATTTGTGGAGACACAACTTTGGTCATTAATATATAGTTCTCTATTCGTAAACAACAAAATAGATTTTGAAAATTTACAATGATACAAATTTAACAATAATATTTTCAAATATATATATTAATACATTAATAAAATGGCTACAAATACTACCAGGACAACGATAAAAATCGCTACAACCCGCTTGAGGAAGGGCTACTCTAGCTAGCTTAGACTATGAACTGCACGATTCGAGGATCGTTTACAATAACTGGCACTAAAGCTAGCTCCAGAATAAAGTTGTTTGATATCTTCCATCACCACGTCAAAATAAAAATTTCCATTTTCACCTTCTAAGGTAGTAGTGTCAACTTGCCCATCTGTCTCAAGGATTACTCGATCCCACCCTTTCCTTTTTGCCCAAGCTAAAGCCTCTCTCACTCCTATGGTCTCCGTTATTCTGATAGGCCAATCTGCTCTACAAGAGTCCCATCCACCTCCCATAAAGTTATCATCATGGTGTCTCGCTACCCCAGTCCCAGACTCTTCTGCTCCTGTAATCATCAATGGTGCCATCCATGATAATTCTTATTTCCCATAGAGCAGGTCTTTTTCATCTAGTGTCCGGTTCTACCCCTCCACGAGGTGCTGTTGATGTGCCTTGAGTTGCCCACCATCCTTGAAGCATTACAGCTTCAAATTCTAATATTGATTACCTGTGAGGGATTAAAAGATTTATTATTTCAAACCACTTCATTGCGCTCTTTCCCAATACTCCATAGCAGTGAAATAAATTTGCATAATTCATCCTCTGTTATGATATTAAAAATATGTTTCATCCAGTCCTGCATGGAATTAGTCGAACACGCCTCAAATCCGCAATACTGCATGGTATTTGTGTGAAATTTTGAAGGAATTAATTTGATCAAAACCACAAGGAATTTTCATCATGCATGCTTCTATATTAAACATGATGGCAAAAAGGTTAAAGACATTTGTTAATTACTTATGACACTTTCAAGGCAAAATTTGGAGAATCCTTGAAAGATGTCTATGACCGATTCCTAATGCTTACGATCTGAGAGAAATTAATGAGCACAAATCAAACGTAGAGCTGAATGTGGGATTTTTGTCCTCTGTAACATCAGAATGGGAGGACCTGTGTACACGCATGTGATATACTCAAGACTTGGAGGAACGAACTGGATATTCATATAGTGTTTAGATCTCTGAATCAGTTTGCTATTGACTTCTTAGACACTGTCGATGAACAAACAAATGAAGATATCATAGACACATTGACTGACTCCATAGCCTCATTACGTTACAAATTTTTAAAAAAGAGACATCTCTTCTAGAAAAAGCATTACTGATGATAACTCAAGTTGCTTTGTCCGTGGTATGCCAAGAACCAGTGGCGGACCCAGGAAATTCATGTTGGGGGGTTCAAAATATTTTTTGAGGGCGAAAATTATTTTTTGAGGGGGTGAAAATTATTTTTCTTATATATATACACTAAAAATAAATTTTGTTGGAGGGGCGATAACCCGTAAATTATACCGTACCACCGGCTGTACGGTGAGCACCGTACAGCCGGGTATTTTTGAAATTAAATTCAACCTCAAGCCTGATAGATCCTTCGGCAACCACCACTGTCCAGTTCAGTCCTCCGCTTAATTCGTTGCCTTCTCCGGTTCTCCTTGGCCTTGGATTCAGCGTTTCCACATACGAATGGCGGTAGCCAAAAGTCCAGAACGACGGTAGGGTAGTCGCAAAGCCGCTGCAGTTGTGGGAGAGGTCTTCGCCAGGCGCTTCATCAAAGTAGAGGGAATCGATCAAGGTAGAGGGGAAGTGGAATCCAAGAAGAGCTTCAAGGACCGCACACCTTTGACCTTCAGACTATTTACCTTCCCATATCGCACATGTTGTAAAGACTGCAGTGCCTAATGTTTATGTCGGCTACTTTTATATTAAAAAAATTGTACTTTAGCATCGTCTTCACAAAATGCATAAGAAAATTTTAATACTATAGTATTGATTGAATTAGAATTGAAATTATGAGCATAGTAGACATTTCAAATGAATTTTTTAATGCTCATTTCGTAATTATGTATACTCGTTTGATATTAATGTAGTACTCATTTTAAAATGTCATATTCATGCACACTTCAAAATGAGTTTTATGTTAAACTCAAATGAGTATAACGCCCAAAATGAATGAGCACAGACAAATGAGTTTTTAAATCTTTTGATACTCATTTTGTAAGTTATGTATGCTCATTTGATACTGTTTTATGCTCATTTAAAAATGTTTCACATTTCAAACGCATCATACTATATTGGATTCAGATACTGAAATAATAAACGAAAAAATAATAAAAAGAAATTGAATTTGAAGATATGAAACACAAATCACTGGTGCTCATTGTTAGACCCCTAATACCCAAAAGAACAGACTTGATACTCATCACAATCACATAATGAAAATCACTGGTGCTTATAATTTCAAGTAATTTCAAGTTAATGCTCAATGAAAACGTCTTGATGTTCAATTAAAGTACTAAAGATTTTCATATCAATTCTCATTTTATAAGTTTTTAAGATCGGCGGGTATTCATGTTATGCTCATTTGTAAAATGGCATAACAATGCATATTTCAAAAGTATCATATTGCATTAAATTCGCATACTGAAGTTCATAAGAGTTGATTATAGATATACTTAATCAGTTTTTATAAAGAAAAAAATAAGGAAAGAAAATAAATTTGAAAAGATGGAGCAGAGATCACGATGCTCATTGTTATGCTTTTAATGCTCAACAAAATATGTCTCATGCTCATTAGATGTGCTTTAATGCTCATTTAGTGCAAGACGCGAATTACATATAAATTACAAAAATGCCACCGGCTGTACGATGCTCACCGTACAGCCGGCTGTACGGTATAGGCTTCCGCGATAACCCTCCTGGGTCTGTACTACGGTCCGCCCCTGCCAAGAACCCTCATCCCTCAAATGAACCGCAGAATGCTCAAAAGAAAAAAGGATACTAAATTTTCCAAAGAAGAAGATCAGTTGAAGAAGAAAAGGCTTCTCAAGAAGGAACAGGGAATTGTTCTAATTAATAGCCGAACATGATCATTGGCTGCAATATGAAGACAGTGACCCGGAGAACATGGAACCAATGGCGGACCCACTAAGAGTCCCATGGAGTCCCGGGACCCGTGGGTTTCGAAAAAATTACCTATATATATTACATATATTTTACAAAATTTACCCATATGTGATGTGTATATATAAAACATATGCGACATAAAGATCATATTGCTCAAGCAGAGAAATGATACCATGCGTGTCTTTAAGCCCTTCTCAACCCTGAGGTGCAGGGTTCGATTAAATCTCATTCCTTTTATTTTATAACTCCAATGATGTCCTTTTGTTCAATTTTTATTAATTCAATTTTTTTGAATTAATTATAAAATTGCTTTAAATATTAAGATTAAAGCTTCAATGATGTCCTTTTGTTCAATTTTTAAACCCCTTCAAACCGCAGGCCATAGGAAATCTATCTCCCTTCATATCTCAACCATTTCTTATTAATACATTTTTTTTTGAATTAATTATAAAATTGCTTTAAATATTAAGATTAAATTAAAAAATTACGTAGTATGTATTTATGAATGTTTTTTATTGAAATTATACGATTAAGGATGAAAATATATTTTTGTAATGTACCCATATTGAAAGAAATTTGGAGTACCGAGAGTAGTTAAGATATTAATTCAAATGATTTGTCTTTAGTAAATAAAGAATTGGATCTAGTACTTGCTGAAAGTGAAACTAATTTGACATATAATCTACATGAACAACATGCTAATTTCATCCTATGTTCAAGACAAGGTACATCGTAGTTACCGTAAAAAGGGTCGTTTCTACATCGGGATCATGATTTCCCTATTTAAGTAATTGATGACAAAAAATGTAGATTTATTTCAAGTTGGTTTGATGAGCATAAATGGTTGGAATACAACATTGTCAAAGATGCTGCATTTTGCTTACTGTGTTACGGAGTATTTGATTAGGAATGAGTGGGAAGTTAGTGGTAATCATTTTTTGGGAATATGATTTTAAGGATGGATTAAAAAAGACAGATTTTATGTACATATTGGTGGATCTATATATTATAGAATATTTCCAACAAATGAAACCTAGGAGGGAACATAACTTTTGTATAATTGTTTAATGACTTTTATATGTATTTTTTTCTTTATATCATATTAATGTTTTGATGATGCTATATGCTTATTAATATTTTTCTGTAATTTTATACTAATGAGATTAACATTAGTTTAGAACCCCGTGACTCTGATTTTCTGGATCCGCCATTGCATGGAACTGATGGCTAAAGTTGATGAAGCTGAAAATGACAGTGTTAGCTCTGAGGAAGATACAAGTTCTCCATCCGCTGAGAATAAGGTAAGTAGTTGTAACTCTTTAATGTCCAAGCAATGCACTAAAATTAATGAGCGAATTTCCACTTTAAAGAAAGAGATGAATAAAATAAAGGAACTTGAAAAGAGACTTGCTAATAACCAGAAATGTCTGGAAGCACGTTTAGAAAAACAATGAATTCTTAATTTGCGCTTCAAAAATTCAAAAGATAAAGTCACTAACTTAGAAACCAAAGTAGCTAAACTTAAGAAAACTGTATGTGACTTAACTAAGAAAGTAGAAGATATTAACCGAAAAAGTTATGAAATTGTTATGTGATTTGAAGAAATTAATAAGGAACATAGTCATCTTTGCACAAAAATTAAGAAGCTAGTTGATATTCTTTCTAAGAGAGGACAATCTAAACAAATTGTTTTTATGCTAAATCAACCCAGAGACGGAACTTTATAATCCTAGAGAAGGACTAGACTTCCAAAACCCATGTAACTTAAAGAAAGTTATTTGCCCTCAATTTTATGACATAAGGTATATGAGATTAGTGTTAGAAAAATGATACTATCGTATTAAAATTGCGAGTTTAACCAGATAAAAATCTCGAGTTTATACAAATCACCAGACAAACCACCAAATGCAAGAACAAATAAAAATCATTAGAATAATTAAAAATGAACAAAGAGAAAAGATAAGGAAAACTGATCGCAGGATCGCCCGTTAGAACAGACTGGCCTTGAAGAAAAGCAGCCCCCGTATCCCGATAGCTATTCAGACGGGTCTGGCTAGCTCACTCCCAGGATAATCCTACCACGTTTCAGGCTCGTAGCTACCTTGACTGAAACCTTCGACTGTTGCCAAATTTGCCAAGAAATAGAGTTGGCTTGAACATTTATCAATTTATGAAAGTATAATACGTAGTATATAAGTTATACGTGCGCTTGGAATGGACAAACTAGTGGAGTAAAGACCCACTCAAATCAAAATGATTTAGGTATGATGATCTAAAGAGAATGATAGGGAAAGGATGTTTAATTTTCTTTTCTTTAGTATGTAAGAGCTGAGCTCAAAGAAACATGCAGGAGTGACCTTTATACTTCGTATAACGGAATAAGGAAGTAGGAGATAATAGTTCAACGGAAATCAACATTTCGAAGCATGAAACGGAAAACCACTTTAATGCTCATCCAAACCTGTACATTAACCACCATTAAGATATATATGGATGTAAGTATGTAACGCGGGACCAAGCAGGGGCGGATCTATTCATGGCTGAGTGGGGGCAGCTGCCCCCAATAAGGACCTACTAAATTCCTTTAATTTCTTTATAAATTTTAAAAATCCAAATATTGCCCCCAATTAAAAAAATGGGTTGCCCCCAATAACCTGAGATGCTCTGCCCGTCCCAGCCTAAGAGGCAAAAGGTTAGCCGCACACCGTTAATTAATGGATATAAACCTCTTTACATTACTTTTAATTTTTTTATCAATTAATCAATTTGGTGTTGGTGTGTTGACTTTGATGGTTGCCTGGTTGGATACTTGTTTAGTTGTTCAATCCTTTGATCTATACGTGATCATAGTGTTGTTTGCTTATTTAAGGTTATACATTACTTGATTCGTCCCTTAAAACTGTGTCAAGTTTGACCGGCACGAAGTTTAATAAAGTAAAAACTGTGTGATTGAAGTTTGTATAGAGGAGAGAAAAATAACAGAAACCGCAAATTGATTGATTAAAAGAAAAGTGACAATTTTTTTGGGAAGACCATAAAACAGAAAAATGACAAAGTTTTAAGGGACAGAGGGAGTAGTTTTCAACTTCTATATATATATATATATATTAAATAATATTATTAAACACTACTAGAATTTTCCTTATTTGCTGCTACCCAATTGCTGCGGTTCTTAGTTAAACCGCAGCAAATAGTCAAAATTTATTAGTATTTGCTGCGATTCTATATTGACCGCAGCAAAAAACTGGAAAATTTGATACTTTTTGCTGCGGTAGTGAAACATATTATAATGTTCTTAATGTATTTTAGTAGTATTGATTTCATCAATTAGATATAATTTTTTAGAAGGATCAATTAGATTTAATTTAATTGATTTTACTGAAATGGTTATACACCTTTAGCGTAACATTTTTTACTTTATCGACACAACTTTTTTAATGTATTCTGTTACAACTTTTACTCCCTTCGTCCCAATATAAAGAGCACATTTGCGTTTTCAAACATTTTTTGGAGAAACACTGGTTGACACTGTTTGGACACTGTGTGACACTGTTTTGTACTGTTTTATTTGCCAAAAAGGAAAATGTACCTTGGAACAACCCAAAAAGAAAAATGTGCCTTTTTTTGGGACGGAGGGAGTATTACTTTAACATTACATTAATACTTTTTTTGACGCATTTTTTAATTATCCTGCCCCCAATAAGCTTTAATCCTGGATCCGCCACTGGGACCAAGCATCGTATTTCAATTTTGAATTCCAAATTGAATACTACTTTGCACGTTTTAATTTATGATTTAAAATAAAACTGTTCGGATTCAGCAAGTCATAATTTTTGTCAA